CATCAGTGATCCGTGGAAGCTTCCGGTGCTGCCTGAGGATGGCCTTAGGAAGTGCCAGCACCCAGTGCCAGATGGTTCCGGGCGAGGCAGGAGAGGGTCACAGTGGCCACTCAGCAAAGCTGGGGGAGGGGACAGAGGACGCTGCCGGGACCCCTGGCTCTGGGTGTGAGGAGCCAGGACCATTCTGGAGCTCAGGGGCCCTGGCGGCCCTGGCTCTGGCCTGAGCCACAGCCTGGTTTTGGGAAGAGCCCACTGTCGCTGGGAGGGGCTGCCCACAGGGCTGCGGGGAGCCGGGCAGGGCGCTGAGTGCTCCCGAGGTGGCCGTAGCGTCATGTGGGGCTGTCCTGCGTAGGAAGCAGCTGTGGGGCCGGTTCCCGAGCCCCCGGCACTCTCATGGGTTCCACACTCGCCGAGTGGCAGGCACACCGGGGCGGGGTGGGGACATTCCTCATGCCAAGTGCTGTCTGGGTCGTGGGTCGTGTGAAGAGCTGAACCCACCTTTGTAAGAATTCCAGCGCCTGGTGGTGCTGGGTTCATCTGAAAGCTTTCCCGGGAACTCCCACGCCGGTGTGGACAAGGGCAGGCCTGTCCCGCGTTAGCTGTGGGCAGCTGTCTCTGCAGGCTGCTCCCTGGGCAGAGCGGGCAGAGCTGCTCGGCGGAGGGCGGTGGTGGGCATTGTCTCCATAACAATGGATGTGACTCACAGCTGGGTCACGGCTCTATTTCTACCCTCCCAGGGCAGATCCGCTCGCCCTGCGTGGTGTGCGTGCACATGTGTGCACGTATGTGTGTATACTTGTGTGCACACGCACACACATGTGTGCGTGCATACGCGTGTGCACACGTGTGCATGCATGTGCACATACTCGAGTGTATGCACGTATACATGTGTGCACGTATGTGTGTATTCTTGCGTGCACACGTGTACACATGTGTGCATGCATGTGCACATACTTGAGTGTGTGTGTACACATGTGTGTGCTCATGTGCACATACTCGAGTGTATGTGTGCACACATGTGTGCACGTATGTGTGTATTCTTGCGTGCACACGTGTACACATGTGTGCATGCATGTGCACATACTCAAGTGTATGCATGTACACATGTGTGCACATATGTGTTTATTCTTGCGTGCACACGTGTACACATGTGTGCATGCATGTGCACATACTTGAGTATATGCGTGTGCACATGTGTGCACGTATGTGTGTATACTTGCGCGCACACGTGTACACATGTGTGCATGCATGTGCACATACTCGAGTGCATGCGTGTGCACATGTGTGCACGTATGTGTGTATACTTGCGTGCACACGTGTACACATGTGTGCATGCATGTGCACATACTTGAGTGTATGCGTGTGCACATGTGTGCACGTATGTGTGTATACTTGCGTGCACACACGCACACGTGTGTGCGTATGCGTGTGCACACGTGTGCATGCATGTGCACATACTTGAGTGTGTGTACACATGTGTGTGCTCATGTGCACATACTCGAGTGTATGTGTGCACACGTGTGTGCCCATGTGCACATGTGTGCATTCATGCACATGTTCACACACGTGTGTGCACATATGTGTGTTGCTCATGTGTTGTGCACGTGTGTGCATTCATGCACATGTGTGCACATGTGTGCGTGTGCATGTGTTTGCATGGGTGCCAGGTGGCCACAGAAGGAAGATCTTTGTTCTCAGGGCAGGAAGTGTTCAGCGCCCGTCGTCACCTGACGTTTCTGCTTGGGTTTTGTGGTAGCCGCGTTGCCGTCTCACTCCATGCTGTTAACCAAGGCACGGTCTTTGGAGGGACCCCTGCCCTACACTGCCCCTCCCTTTCTCCTGTAGCGGGTGCAGCCGTTTGCCAGCCAAGTGTGCTGAGGGCTCCAACTTCACAACACACCTGTTCTTGGCACAAGTAACCAGAAGTGTAACCGGGGAGCAGGGCTGGCGCTGTGGTGTAGCAGGTAAAGCCACCGCTGCAGCACTGGCATCCCATGTCGGCGCTGGTTCCATCCAGATCCCTGCTGTGGCCTGGAAAGCGGTGGGTGCTTGGGCCCTGCACCCACGTGGGAGACCAGAAGAAGCTCCTGGCTCCAGCCTGGCCCAGTCCTGGCCTTTGTGGCCATTTGGAGGGTGAACCAGCAAATGGAGGCCCTCTCTGTCTCTCTTTTCTCTCTGTTTCCCTGCCTTAAATATAAATAAATAAATATTTTTAAGAAAAGGAGGAGGAGGGGTCACCAGGCAGCAGAATGGTGGGCGTGAGGCAGGGGAGGCGTGGCCACTCCCTGGAGTCCTGTCCCTCCTCCTCTGCCCTGCCTGTGCTGCTGGGGAGACGGGATTGGGTGTGACGCTCACTGAGAACAGGGTCAGATGCCACACTGGGCAGGACGGGTGTCCAGGCCCTCGTCACCAGGGCCTCCGACATGCACGCCGGGTCTCAGGGAAGTTGGGGGCGGGGGGGAGACGTGCAGAGGGCGGGACTGAGGCCTGGGCTGGGGAGGCCTTGGTGGGGGAGGCAGCCAGGAGGGGGTACTGGGCAGAGGGGCACTGGGGCCCTGAGCCCCTCCCGGGAGGGGTGGGGGCAGGGCTCCCTGGAGCCGCTGGGTTTGCGTGCGTGACAGGGTAGGCTGGGCCTGGCTGCCCCGTTACTGGGGCAGGGAGGTCGGAGGCCGTTTTGTTTTCCACACAAGGAGGCCTCTGTGTGGTCACTGGGCAGATGCTGTCCTGGCAGGGTCTCCTGGAGTGGAGCACGCCGACCGCAGCCCTGGGGGTGCCCGCCAAGTCGGGGTGCTCCTCTGTCACGTGCTGCCCGCCCCGGGCTGCCCTGCACCTGCTGCCTCCAGTGCTGAGCCCCTGCCCCTGCGGCCACCTCACCGCACGGCTCCCTTCTGCAGACGGGGAAACTGAGGCGTGTGGCGCTGGCCTGTGGGTGGCAGTCCCAGGGTCCCACACTCAAGGGTTTGTTTCCCACGCTCTGGGAGGGGCCTCCCTCCAGCTCAGAGCCCTCCCTCCTCGGGACCTGCCCGTGAGGGCCTAGGACTGTGGCCCCCAGGCACCCCCATCCTCGCCTCCACACCCACTGCCCCCAGTCCTGTCTGCCGCCCCTCCTGAGCACAGCCCGGCCCCTTGGGGACGTCAGACCACCGGCCAGGCGGGGCCCTGCTGCAGGCCAGCTGCGTGGTGCAGCCTGGCCGGCCACCCCCACTCCACACAAACTCTGCCCTCCCCGAGCTGTTTCTACCCCGGCCAAGCCTGCTCCCGTGTGCGTGGCTAGTCTTCTGCCTGGAGCCCCTGGCAGGCCCAGGTGGATGCCGCTTCGTCCAGGAAGCCCCGACTGCCCTCCCGGTCAGCCGCCCCAAGGGAGAACCACCCTTGCCTTTGTGCTCGCCGCCTGGCCCCGCCCCCGCTGGGTCGGTGCGTGCTTCTGACGGGGGAGGTGGCCTCAGCCGTGGACGTGGTGCTCTGACTTGTGTGCCCGGGGCCCTCCTCTGTGCAGAGGCCCTGGCGCTCCTGAGGCCCCGTGTTTGGGGCCGCCCCGGGCCAGGGTGGACTGCACAGGCACGGCCGCCTGGCTCTGGTCCCGGGTGTCACGTGCATTGAGGCCCCTGGGACCAGTCCCTGCTGGTGCACTCTCTTCCCTCACTGCTCGGCTGCCGAAAATGGGGCCTCTGGCAGGGAGGGTGGCTGTAGGAGGCCCCGGCGCCCAGGGTGTGGCCTGGAGGCCCTCATGGAGCGGGGCAGGGCAGGGCTGGGTCTGCAGCTCTGCCCGCCCTGGCCTGGGCCTAGTTGGAGGCCTGCAGGTGGCATCAGGACGAGTGTTCTGGGGTCTTGGCATCAGGCTGGGGCCACGACTCCTTGCACCGGGGTTGTTCGGGACACAGCTGTCACCCTGCAGCCGCTCTCTGGTGGCTTCTAGGGCCCCAGTGCCCCGTGAGGTCAGCCAGGCCCAGGCCACCGAGAGGATTGGACTGTGCAGGTCTCCCCATGTCTGGCACTCCCAACTGTGTCCCCGAGCAGCTTCCCCGTGGCCGTGCCAGGGGCCACTGTCGGCCGCCCAACCACGAGGCTGCCTGCCCTGCTTAGTGAAGGAAGCTGGGTGGCAGTGCTCAAAGCCACAGGGACCACTCGCGAAGCCAAGGCCAGCGCGAGCCGCAGCCGGGGGTCCCGGCCAGCCGCACTCCTGGCCTTGCTGCCCCTGGCTCGGCGCCCCAGCAGACAGTGGAGGGGCCCTTTCACCCCAAGGACCAGGTGAAGGCACCTGCTTTACGGCTGTGTGCGCTGTGGGGAGGGAGTTGGTGGGAGGCCCCCACGTTTCTGACCTGGCTTTTACCGTCTCTTACTTCCTGCCTCTGCCTCTTGGCAGCTCTTGGCCCTGGGGGCCCCACCTGGAGTGACATCCAAGTCTCGCCCTCAGGGTGGAGGCTCCCCAGGGTCATGGGGTGCACTGCACGGGGAGGGTGGGGTGGCTCTCCAGGAGGGGCTCAGGAGAAAGCAGGGATGGGGTCTTCAGTTTCCCACAGGCCCGTGGGCTGCTCCGAGGCCGCACGTGGTCGCTGCATGGCCGGCCATGGTCCTGGGCCTCATACCCTTGTGAACCTCGGGGCCGACTGCAGGGCCCCCAGGCTTGTCCAGCACGTGCCCGGCTTTCCCCCTAGGCTCTGGCCACCTGTGGAGGCTCTTCGGGGCTGTGGTGGCTCTCAGTGCGGGCTCGTTGGACACCAGGGCTGAGGCCGTGTGTCCGGCACTCTGGGTGCCCTGTTTGCTGCTGCACCCTCTGTCCCTCGGTGGGCCTGGTGCAGTGACCCGACTGGAGGTGCCGTGGCCCCAGCTGTCTGCCAGGGCTCAGCCGGGCCTGCTGTACCACGTGTCAGCCCTGCACCACCCCCTACGGGCCCACTCCCAGGGAGAAGGGGGGCCCACAGGGAGAGGTCTGCTCACGGCGGCCAAGCCCGGCCCTGGGCCTCCCCGGCACCTCACCTGGCGTCTCTTTCTTTCCGCAGTGAACTTCGACCACTTCCAGATCCTGCGTGCCATCGGGAAGGGCAGCTTTGGCAAGGTAAGGCCGGGCCCGGGGAAGGCGGGAGGGCGCTGGAGTGGCCCTCGGCCACCTGCTGCCTTTGCCTCCGCGGATGCCGGCACACCCGGCGGCAGGCTCAGTCTGGGTGGAGGTGAGGGCAGGCCGGCCGCACGGGGACCCTGAGCTTTCGGCGGAGCCCCGACCGCCTTTCGGCTGGGGTCTCCAGGGGTCTCGAAGGGTCTCGCAGCTCAGTGGGGAGCTGAGGCTGATGATGGTGCAGCTGCCCTATCACACGGGGGCCGCGGGGCGTGACCCCTGCCCTCTTAGCTCCGAGGCCGAGTGTGGCCGGAGCCCGGGGATGGCCTTAGAGCAAAGCCCGGTGTCCGGGACCTGCTCGTTGCGACGGCAGCGGCGACTGCCCGGGAGCACCGAGGCCAGGCTGTGCCCGCACCTCTTCCTCCACGGGCAGCGTCTGTCCCCGCCCTGGCCTGGTCCAGCGCAGCAGAGCCCCGGGGTGCCCCAGGCTTCGTTCTCTGCTTCCCTGTCGTCCCCTCTTGGCCACACCTGACGTCCTGCTGTGTGGCCCCTCAGGTCTGGTGATCGTGAGGCCTGGGAGGTTGGAATTGGCCCGGCTGGGCGGTGCTGGTGGCGAGTGGGCGGCTCCTGAATGGCGGCTCTCTCCAGCCACCTGGCACGGCATTGGGGCTCCACGAGCCCCTCTGAAGGGGCTGCTCTGCCTCTCGTCCTGTCACACGGGGCCTCCCTCCGAGCTCGGGGCATTTAGGAACACGCGAGCCCCTCTGCAGGGATTTGCTGGGACGCTCTGGGGACCCTGGGGGACCCTGCTTAGAAATCTCCGGGCGTCAGGAGGAGCTGCAGGACCTCTGCTGTCTGTTGACCCTGGGGGAGGCCGGCTGGGACAGCCTCCTCCTGCTGCTCCTGGGGTCACCCCCACGGGCAGCAGAGGACAGCCATGTGGGCGGGACGCAGAGATCCCAGGATCACCAGGAATTCACAAATCAGGCTGGCGCGTGCCAAGCTGGGGAGCTCTGAGGGACGCAGGTGCTGTCTCTGGGGCCTGCCCCACCCTGTACCCAGCCCCACTGCCCTCCCTGCCTCCATGGCTCTTGCCCCCCTGCCTGGCTCTGCAGAGCCTTGGAGCACCGGCCCCTCTGGCATGTGGCTCTGCAGAGCTGGCTGGCGGGGTGGTGGGCTGTGCTGGCAGGTGCTGAGGGAGCCGGGGGTGGGAGGGTTGTTTTCACACACGTTAGCGGTGCAGCTGAGGGATCCTTCCTGCTGCCCCCTTAGCCCCCGGGGTCTCCCGGCTCCCAGCTGCTTCTGCTGCCCAGTAGCAGTGCCCACACCACGGGAGGCAGGATGGGGGAAGGCAGCTCCAACACTGGCCAAGCCGGGCCACCTCTGCTTGCTTGTGGCCATAGCCCAGGGTCCCAGCGCTGACCCCACCCCCTGCAGAGTGCACGGCCTGGCTGCCTGGACACCTCCAGAACCCCCGGGATGCTGCTGTCCACCCACGCAGCCACTGGTGTCTGAGGGGCCTGTGGGACCCGTGGCTGCTCCGGCTTTTGGGGCGGACAGGGATCTGCGCTCAGGCATCTTCCCGTGAGTGGTGGCGGCGTCAGCTCTGTGCACGGTGCCGTGCAGCCGTCCCCAGGGGCTCTTCATGTGTCAGAACTGAAACTCGGCCCCCTTAACGCGCCCCCTCGCCCCTGCCCGCAGCCTGGTGACCACCGTTCTGCTTCCTGTCTGTGCGTTTCTCGTCCTCGTGAGCCCAGCTGCTGTGACAGGCACACTGCAGACCGCGGGGCTCGGACAGGAAACAGCTTCTCCCAGTTCCCGGGAGCCCGAGGCCAGATGGCGTCGGGGCCTGGAGGGGCCTGGTCCTCGAGTGGCCAGGACAGGGCGGGAGGGCGCTGAGGACATTCGTGGGTCCTGACCCCCACCTGACCCCAGGACTGGGACGCATCCCCCAGAGGGAAGGGTCAGTGCCCTCCCTTCACACGGGGCTCGTCCTGTGTGCCTGGCTCAGTTCACGGGGCTTGTCCTGTGTGCCTGCCTCAGTTCACGGGGCTCGTCCTGTGTGCCTGGCTCATTCACGCGGGGCTTGTCCTGTGTGCCTGGCTCAGTTCACGCGGGGCTCGTCCTGTGTGCCTGGCTCAGTTCACGCGGGGCTCGTCCTGTGTGCCTGGCGTGGCTCACAGAGCCCAGCGTCCCCAGAGTTTGTTCTCCAGCGTGTTGAGCTGTCTCCCTCCCTCCCCTTCCTTGGAGAGAGACAGAGGGAGAACAGGTTGGTTCCCCAGGGGCCCTCAGTGGCCTCAGCCAGAAGCCGTGCGCTCAGCCCAGGGCTCCCGAGTGAGCCGTCACCTGCTGCTCCAGGCAGGCTCGGCAGGAAGCTGGAATCGGAAGCCAGGACAGGTGCTGAGCCCAGAGCTCTGGTGTGGGATGCGGGTGTCCTGGCTGGCGGCTCAGCTGCCCGGCCAGACGCCCTCCTTCTTGAGGTGGAACGAGGTTTTGACGTTAGTAGACAACGCTTTGCTTAGACGTTGTCCTCCCGTGGACACCTGGGCTGCCCCCACCCTCTGGCTGCCATGAACAAGGTGTGCACCTGTCTCTCGGAGGCCCCATTTCAGCCCCCCCCCCCCAGGCTGTGGGGTTGCTGCTCCTGACGGTGACGCCAGCTTGGCTCCCAGGCAGCCCCTGCCGTCGTCCTCAACGGCTGCGCTGTTCACACCAGAGCGGCACTCGGGGCTTCTGCTTCCTCCCGTTCTCGCCGGTGCTCGTGCTGGGTTTTCCCTGGACAGCAGCCCCAGAGCAGGGAGGTGGCATCTCATGTGGCCTGTGTCTCCCTGCTGGTTATGAAGTTGGTCTCGGCCCCCTAGGTGGGCTCCGCATAGCTAGAGAGGAGCCACGTGGGTGCAGGGCTCGTGCCCAGCAAGGGGCAGGGTCCGGGGGGCTCCTCGGGGCTGACTGAGAAGCTGGGTTCGCCGAGAACAGAAGCAGAGGGCCGAGTCCTCAGTGAGGAAGAGCGTTCAGGCCGCGGGGCGGGAGCTCAGACCCAGTCGGAGATGCAGAACCGGGACGGTGAGCAGGAGGCGACCAGCGGGAGGGTGAGGGTGGAAGCCAGAAACTCCTGCGGGGCAAAGCCCCAGCCCAGGTCCAGCTCGGACGCCCTCAGCGCTGACCGGCGCCGGAGGCTCCCTCAGAGCCTGGCTTTTCCAGCTGGTCTCGGCGAGCAGGGGCTGGGACGTGGCGCCTGGCCGTCCTCGCCAACCACGGCTCGGGCCGCAGCCCCACGGGAAGCTGTCATCTGCTGGCGGAGGCGATGGGTGGCCGTGCAGAACGCGGAGAGGACGGCTCCCGGGCAGGGGAGCTGCTGGTGGGCCGTGTTTGGAGTCGTGAGAATACAGTCTCCCCACCCGGCTGGGACAGAGCAGGACTTTGCCCCGGGTCTTCTGGGATGGTGTGGTTCTCTGTCCGTGCTGGGAGGTGGCCAGGAGAGCGTGGTGCTGCCATGTCCCACCCTGTCTGCAGCCTGGGCCTGGTGCCAGCCCTGCCCTGAGCCTGGGCAGTGTGAGCCCTCACGGGCCTCCCTCAAACTGGAGGCCGCCGTCAGGATCAGCCGCGGGCCTGGGAACCGTGCGCACCTGCTTCCAGATTGGGGGGCGGGGGGGTCCTCCCAGGCAGGACACAGGGCTTTGTTCTCTGTCCTGTCCGGCTGACATCCGAGGAGTGACGCGGCCACAGTCAGTCAGTTCTAGATGGGAGTGACGAAGCTTGGAGAAGATCCATCCGCTTCTCTCTCTGTGTGATGTTGTCCAATCTGGATCTCTCCCCTGGCCCTCCGCCCTCCCTGGTTGAACTTGGAGCCCTCCCGCTGCAGCCAAGCGGTGACTGTCATGGGGCTGTGGGCGGGAGGGGCCAGCCTCTCCCCGCTCCAGGAGAGACATAGCAGGAGTGAGGTGTGCAGATCTGTGAGTGTTTAGTGCTGCCTGCGCAGGAGGGGGAGGGGCGACAGGAGAGATGAGTGTGCCCTCAGGGGGCGTGAGTGGAGACGCCACAAATGCCCTGGGTGGAGGGTCTGGCTTAGGCAGGTGAGGGGCGGCTCCTCCAGGTGGGATCGGGACTGCGAAGCTGCAGGTGCCTCTCACACCGCACCCCACCCCGCCCCGCCCATTCCCTCCACCTGCTGTCCCCCCTCCTGGGGTCCAGTCCCCAGCGGCTCCTGCACAGGCTGCCCCCAGCACTCAGCTCCAAGGCTCCCCTGGGAGGCAGTGACAAGGTCACAGCTGGACATGCCTAAGCCCACCGCGTGCAGCCTGTGTCCGTGAGCATCACGTGTATGCAGTTGCCCCAGACAGCAGCCCCTCCCCTCCCCTCCCTTCCCCTCCCCTCCCCTCCCCTCTGCTCCCTTCCCCTTCTCTCCCCTCCGCTCCCCTCCCCTCCCCCCGCCTGTCTGCTGTTCTCATTTGTGTCTCCAATTGAGCTCTTGAGTAAATCTGGTCGAGACCACAAATCAACCCTCAGAAGCTGGGCGGGTTCGCCCTCGCAGGCAGCTGGCGTGCTCACGGGGAGCTGGCACCGGCGCCGAGTGTATTATGTGTTGTCCCTGCAGCTACTGTGTGGTGTTATGGGAAACCCCTGCCGCCGTGCACACGGGCGCTCTGCCCTTCCAGTTTTAGAACCGAATGGCTTTGTGCGTGAACCAGGCTGCCCCTCCCCTGCCTCCCATCCCTGGAGCCCCCCATGGCCGTGTCTGGGGCCCTGGGAGTACCCCCACCCCTGCTGTGGCCCCTCCGTGCGACTGGCTGCGGCCAGATGATCCTGGCTGGGAGCGGCAAGACCCGCTCTGGGCTTCAGCAGGGCCACCGTGCGGCCCGGCAGGTGGCACACTGACCCCGTTCAGTCTCCCACTGGTGCCCGGGGGTCCTGCAGATGCCCTGGACACAGAGCCCCCGCCGACAGCCATGGGAGCACAAGACACACACGTGGGGGCTGGGCCCAGCCTGTGGAGGCAGAGCGTG